GGCGGCTTAAAATGTTTACCCGGCTCGCCGACGAAGACGTTTATGTTTGAGGGACTGCGAGGGGAGAGGGGAATCCCAGTGAGAAATATCCAAGGTATACAATCGTCTTCTTTTTTTTTGGCATTTTTGTTTGCCTTCGAATTATTTCGTTTTTGGCGAATGTTAAATACGCAATGCGTAAGTAAGGTAGTCGAACAGTGGGTGAGGGGGGTGCAGGGGGGTGCGGGGGCAGACATCTGAAAGCTAGGTGGCGCCATCATAAATTTATTGAAATTCCCATTTAATGGAGATTAATATGAGCCGAGCAGCGTCGTCGTCCCCGAGGCGCCTCTTTTTGAATGCGATTTATTGACATTGCTAAATGTTTTTGAAAAACTTTTCATATTTGCTTAGTTTTCATTTTATTGTTATTTGCCATTTGTCTATGGCCAAGCGGCTAATTAAGAACGTGGGAATGTCTAAGCGAAATGGTAGCTACGTGACATTTTTGGGATGAGTAAGAGTGATTGGGAAATGATTGGGGATTTCTGCATACGAGGATTTGCAATAACGCTTAAGCATGACAATATAAAATGTTAATACTCAAAAAAAATTGAATGAATTAACCTACAGAGAGTAAAAAATAAGTATTAATCCAATACTAAATACTTTACTTTACTTTTTTATTTTCACTTCTATACCGAAGAGTCAAACACTGTAGGTTGAAGCTTTATTTTTAAACCACATAGGTTGGAATTTGATACTTTTGTGGTAAAAATTTAATACAGATCTTATTGATAAGTTGCTCTTACACAATAGTTTAAAATTCATCAAACAAAAGTTTAGTTTCAATGATAGTTTGGTTTTATGTGTATGAAATGATTACTATTCTCTCGAAGGGTAAATATTTCTCAAGCTTCTGTTAAGAAATGTTGAAGAATCTTAATTTTAACTGGAATGCTTATATTGGATATAAATATTTCTTAAACGTTTTGAACTAGTTTATAGATAAACATATTATTTTATTATTTAATTAAATTTGTAAAATTAAAAAATAAATAAATCGTTTGATATATTACCAACTATTCAAACTAGCCCCCTTCCGTTCAAGCACTCCAGTTCAATCCAAAATTTCCACCAGACGGTCTCAAGTTTTGCATTCTTCTGCTCCAATCACACACTTCTCCAGATTAACCGAACCCTTCTGACGTATTTGAATAAATTTACAGGCGGGTTCGATTCGTTTCGGTTCGGTTTTAATGATTTACAACCCCCGAGGAAAGAACCTTTGGCCGCTTGAGCTGTCATCTGGCCGGGAACTGTGTTTTTGATTACCACAAATCAACCAGAACAAATAAAACGATTAGGGAAGGGTGAAAGAGTCGAACGAACAATGGGAGAGAATGAAACTTTGGTATTTTGTCAAACGTTTATGGGCGAATCAATCAATTTCAATGCAATTTCAATTAGGCCAAGATAAGCGCTAAGGAGGCGGCCAATCCAATCAAATGGGCCAATGGTCGCTATCAGTGGTCGAGTGTGTGTGTGCGTGTGTGTTCAATAAACAATTTTAATATTTTTTAATTATGAAAACAAGTTGATTATATAAATTAAATCGCTGCCCCGTCGGCGATTAGATTACGACCCTCCTACCGAACTTAAAATTCTTAACTTTTCGAGTGATGTGACGACCATTTAAGCGGCTTTAAACAAATTTTTATAATTTTTCCAACTTCATAAATATCAAGGGGGTGCCAAAGGGGGGGTGCCGCGTCGACTGATAAGGGATTTTGAATTAATTGAAAATTGATTATTAGCTCTATTTGAGCGTGCAGATAAGAAAGTCCGAAATTGAAGGCAGCTGAGATAAGCGATTCCGATTTCGATTCCGATTCCTTTTATTTCTTACTCTCTTTCATAATTGAAAATTAATCCATCATAATAGACGTCAGCGCAGAAATTAAAACCTGAAGTTTGGAGGGTCTTTCAAACCCTAAAGAAATTAACCGAAGAAAGGGAACAAATAAAATATGAAATGATAAGCGGAGATAGTAAATTATGTGGCGGCAAACAAGACCAAGAAAAGGTAAAGCAAATAGGCCGAAAACGAACAAAATATTTTATAAACACCAATGAATTGATATCATAAGCAGGATATCATAAGCAGGACGGAATTCAGAAGAGCCATCATTATCTGGCAATTGAATGCACTTATGCAAACAATTACAAGCTGCCAGGCAAATAGGACTGCCGTGTATCTGTGTATCTGTATCTGCAGCCGAGTATCTGATCAAATAAGGAGTACAAATCAAAATGCGATTTTCGTGCGTCCTTCTTATCGGAAAGTGCATGTTTACGTTTACCTTTCGCTTCCAATCGTCTGGCGCTTCATCGCACTTTCACGTATAGTGAAGGCATATGTTCATATATATACAGATACAGATACATTTACAGATACAATATATATGAGGAAGTAGTCCCGGCAGAGGTTAAAAAACTCTGATGTCGCAACGGCAGCTAAATGTATCTCAACTGTGTGCAAACAGAACCACACATTCCACTCACTCACTTCACTTCACCTCAACTCGGTTTCAGTTTTGGCTTGGGTTTTAGGTCTGGCCCGGCTTGGAAATTTGTTTGCGCTGTGGCTAATGAGGCAGCCCAATGCAGATACAGAAGCTATATATAAACACCGATATAGATATCGCACTCCGCGATAAACTTGAGCTTCAATCGATTTTTTACTTTCCTTTTTATGTCTGTTGAGTTTGGCTTAGAACATTTTTTAACATATGAGATATTTATTCATTTAGTTTCACGTTTGAAACTAAACCCATAACAGTTCGAAATATAGTATTTAAATTTATTTGGTTGCTTAATTTAAGATCATGGTTCATTTATTAAACACAACGTTTTTAACTAGCTTTCATCATTGCCATACGATGTATTTAATTATTAACAGGTCACCAAAAACAAATTCTTTATAGCTAATTTTACCCCACAAAATCGTATCACATCTTAGTCATCAGCTCTTCCAATTTCAGCAGCACTATCAAATTTATTTATGACGTCCGAAAATCATTTATTACTATTAAAAGCGCTATAGCTAAACCTTCGAACGGAAACAAAATAGTTTTAGCCCATAGTCTAATCAAAATAATAATTTGCAATCGTTCAGCAATCAATTTCCTTTCTAAACCCCACTCTAAGGATTATCTGGCTCAGAATAATCTCATTAATGATTCCTATAATTCTTACGTTTTATATATACCAATTAAAATTAATAAAGAAATATGGGGAAGGGAAAAACAGAATTCAGTTTATCAGTTTTTAATAAGTTTGCTCCGTTGGCGAGCCAACAACAAAAGCAAATCAATTCGCGCACTTAATGAAAAAACACAACTCAATTATAAACTTTATCAGCGGTATTTGGGGTGGAGCTGGGGGCGGGGTTTTTTTCTGTGTCCACATACATACATTTAAAAGTTATTTTGTCAATGCTGGAAATCAATTAAAATTTTGTGTCAATAATGAAATTTACTTTATTATCGCCATATTATCAAATATTTATTTCATTTCGTTCTTCTTTTCGTGTGTACTTAAGTTGATTTATAATGCACATTTAAAACGACAGATTTTCTTTTTTGTAAAATTGATTAATGTTTATAGGAAATATACTTTCAATGAGACAGGAGTATTTTGTTGTAAGCTACAGTTACCATGTATGTTACAGTTATGAAAAATAGTTCTGACGGATTGTAATTTTAAGGTTATTACAATTATAAGTTTCTAAAAGTGTTTTTTATTTAAGCTTTGATTTTCATAAACACTTACATATATGCAAGCCAAGAACAGTACAAATTTATTAAATGATATCTTAAGAAAAAGTCTTTCGAAATCTTTAGAAATCAATCATTTTAATTGACCTGAATAGAAGGTGGGGCAACCATTTAGTAATCATTAGGGTCAGTCAATGCTGACCCACCTCGGTTTGCTTAAAACATTGCACAGAAAACAAGAGAAAAAAGAGGAAACCAAGAGTGATAGGTGGGTGGAAAAAAAATGCAAATAATAAATACCAAAGTGCAGTAATAATTTGCATGCACACATATAGTGAACTCTCTGTGCCCACAACTCTGTCAACATAATGAGCCAATCGAATGGCAGCCACTTTGTAGATACAACTCAACGAAGTATCCGTATCTGTGTATCTCTGTTGCTGCTGAAATGTAAAAATTATTTATTGATAACGCAATTTAATGCCAATTATTTGCACATCAATATTTGCTCAATTATCAATTGCAATTCAGTTGGGTGTGGTTGGAGTTTTGTGATTAATGAACAAATGGTTTGATGAAGGGAGGTGGTTTGTATCAAGTTTTGATTTGTGGTTATTGTTTTAAAATGTTTTGAAAAGTCTTTTACAATTACATTTCCCTTTTTTTTATAGATACATTTGGACGGAAAACAAGTGTCAAAGTCAACTCAATCAACTTTCAACCCTCCTCCATTCATCCCTTTTTTGCCAGCCTTGCAAGTTTTGTTTACTTAGCTAACTAAGGCTCTGAAAATCTGTTGAAATTTTCTGGAATTATTGTTCACTTATCGGGTGAATTAACACGAAAAAAAAGGGAGAAATGGCAGGTTCACTAAAGAGATTACCTCTCTCTCTTTCTTTCCCTGGTCATCCCTCTCTTTCGGATTTATATGCTGACCGCATCAGCTAAATTGCAGCAGCATATGTGACGATTTATTTTTATTTCTGATATTTGCTGGCAAATTTAATGCCTGATTAGCCTAATATGCCAGAAAATTCATCAGTGATCAAAACATTTTGGGGATGCAAGGGCAAATCTAAGGGTGTCATATTTGATTTTAAAAAATTTCCCTCTTTTTGATTTGAATTTGATTTTCAATTAAGCCCCTAATAATGTTTCCCCCTCTTTTGGATATTTGAGTTTATTTTAAGAAAAACGAGGATTTAGTTATTATAAAAATGTATAATCAATTATTATTTAAGTTATAAATTTATTGTATCAGATTGTATAAAAAAAAGTACATAATGCCATTAATTTTAATATTGAAGTCCGACTTATGGGTCTTAATGCGCTGCTTTCTATGCCAATAAACCAACTGCCACAAGGACACGTCTTATTTTCCATAACTGACGAATAAATTTCCCTAGTGCACTTGTGACAAGGTCTATTTCTTAATCCTAACTTCTTCAGTTTTTGACATCCCATTTCTGGGGACCAAAAACAGCAATAACCAATAATTGACTCTAAAAAGGGAAAAATGGTTAACGTATTTTTTTCTGAATTTCTTGCCAAAAAACTCACTCTTTATTTTAAAACCCATGCCCGGAAGCAGGCATTCCCTTAGATAAGACGGTATTTGGGACGAATTTAAATTAGGATCCAACTTCTTGGCATCAGTTTCGAATTCGCAACTCCAACCGGTTGTCAATATTTTGCATTCCGCATTAACTTTTGAACAATTCGAACATATCATTTGGTCATAAAAACTGTGTGCAGTGCTGCTAAGTGCGGCTATAAGCCAAATAATTTTGAACATATTAAAAAGTGATTTTTAAATTTGCCAAAACTAGAGCAATGGCTACTGAGTTCTAGTTGTAGGCTTGACTTAAAATTGGATATTAGTGTTTTATTGGGTATTTATAATAAAATACCAATTTTTAAGCCTTTATTATAATTAAATTAAAATTTTGATAAATAACAAAATTCAACCATACACAATTTGCTGATATATTTATTTATATTATCTTAAGTTCATTTCGGTTTTCCCTAATCAATATTTAAAATTTTTTTTTGTCCATTAGTTTGCGTTTATTTATTTAAATTAATTCCTTTTTTATAAATAACTAACATAATTTGTTTCCAGCCTTTAAGCTTTATTTTACGAGCACTTCAGTAGCATAATAAGCCCATAAATTATTGTTAGCCCTTAAAACTAGCTCGTTTCAAATTTGAACTCTAATTGCATATTTACGTAACCATTTCCCCAAAATCAAAACGAAATCAGGCAAACAAAGCTAACAGCAAATACAATGCCAGCTAAAACCGAAACCCAATCCAAGTCCACACGCCTCCAACCCAAAGTCCTCATACTCCTCATACTATACCATTCGAAACCTCCCGAAACCATCCCTTTTTGCCCATCTCCCTACGACTCAATCCACTCCATGTTTGTGTTGTTATATAAAATAAACTATTCTGGAATAACACAAATCATACAGAGGCAGAACAACCGGAGGATGGACGATTGCCAGGTCATGTTCTGAGCTCCACCAGCACCACCCATAAATGTTAGTTAAATGCACGTGGATGAGTAGATAAATATCGTATAATGAAAATAAAATAAGAGCCAAGATAGAAAGTTTGGGAAGGGGGGCCAAAGAAACAACAGCAATCAGTCGTCATTGCAGACATCGCACTAATTTTGAGTTAGTTCTTGGGGAAACATTTTCGGCTTGAGTCTGGATTTTGGGGAAAATCGGGAGTGAGACGGGTTTCATTTTTGTACGTGGTCAAAGAAAATACACTTTGGCACGTTTCTTGTTAGCGAACAGTTTGCCTCATCCCCTTGGTTCCTTAACTCTTTTCCTGTCTGGACATTGCATGATATATATTATTTTTTTTTAGGTTTTTTTGGAGAAATTTACTGTCTTTTTGCCAGCTGCTTGGGTCTCTGTTTGCTTTGGCAACAACATTCGGTTTTAAATTAGAGAAAAGGTCTTTTTAATTTGAGGTCCTAGGAGAGGTAATACCATAAAGCTATTGATTAAATACAAAGTTTAAACAATTTAAATACAATACAACATTTAATTGTACTTTGATTCGGAAAAATATTAAAGGCTTACAATTCTAAGATCTAACAAAGTCAAAAAATGTTTTTAGTTTACTTTATTTATGACTAAAAACAAAAAGTTCAAGTATTCTCTTGCTTTTAATACATGTTTTAGATACATAAAATTATATAAATATGGTTTTATTATGAACATCGGAAGATAAAATGTGTTACAGCTCTTAGATAAATAACAAGAATCTCAAAATAAAGTTAAATGTTATGAGGCAGGGAAGTTAAATTGATTTATTCCTGGGACTTGTCTTTAATGTTCCAGCAGACATCTGCGAAACTGTGCACACTTTTTTGTTGAATTAAGGGGTAGAAATTACTCAAAAAGGTAGCAAATTTACAGTACCTTGTGGCATTACAATGTACTTTCACTGCATTTGCGAATGGCCTGAGTCCAATAAATAGAAATTGTTATAAACATATTCTAAAAGAATTTTTCCTAATATACATATAGTTTATAAGTTATGATAATAGGGTATTTATAAGTAGCCAGTTAAAATAAATTAATGAATTTCTGGATAATTTAATGTCCTTTGCTCCTGAATTCAATCCATTTACAACTCCTTGCCTACTTAACTCTGAGCCACTTGGCAGCCATTCATGTCCACTTAGTAATCCATCAAGGGAACATTAAACTCATCTCATCTGGCTGAGCGTGGGTCGTAAAGAAAATGCATTATACGAGCATTACCGCAGTAGCGTAGCGCCGAACTGGCAACCAAGTTATAAAAGTCCAATGAAACGAGACGTTTATTGTTATCGGGATTATTGATTTCGTGTGTGTGGGGACTTAAAGCTGCAGCTTTAGCCAGAAGTCAAGTGCCTTAATTGCTGGCCTAATCATCTGCCAGACTCCCTTTAACCTTTCTCCCTTCAGGAGCCATTAAGGACCTTTATATCCCTACCAAGCCAACCCCACACACTCGAGTTGATTATGAAGATTCTTTCGTCTTTTGCCGTTGAACTTGTTAGTTGCTCAACACTCCATAATGATGGCAATTATAGCCTCGTTTTTCCAACAATTTATATGAAATTTCGTGCTGCCAAACTCTCCGGCCCTCCTCTCATTTGGCCAAGCCACGCCCTCTTCTGGACATTTTAAGCCATTTGGCTACGCCCCTTTATATATGGCTATCTCTGTTTTGCCTAAGTGTTACTATTGAATACTCCATCTTGAAAGCGGGTTTTCAGAGAGCGAAAGAGGGAGAGAGAAAGACAGAGAGAGAGAGAGAGATAGAGGGAGAGAGATTGTTCCGGTGGTGCTTTATACTGGTATTCCTCGGTATCGCGTATATGATACCACGTTTGGCTGCCAACAGCGCACAGTCGTTAATGAGCGTTCGTCGAGTTCGCTTCGTTGAAACCAAACTGAAACTCGCGTGCGTACGCGTTCGAAAATAGACGTTTTCGAAACGTGTTCTGAAAAGTGTTTTTTACAAAATTGAAGGAATTCGAAAATTAGAAAATCAAAGAGATAAACAAAACTTTGGTGCCGAAAGTGAAGCATGTCCAGTGCCCAAGTGTCGCAACCGTTGCCTCTGCCGCCGCTGACCGCCAGTAACAACAACAACTCGATGCAGCCGTCGCAACTGCTGCTGAGCCACATTCAGCACCACAACCACAGCACCAGTCTGATCCACCAACGCAGCCACAGCAGCAGCACCAGCAGCAGCCACCAGAGATCCTCGCCAGCGGCCCAGGACTACGATCAGGGCAGCAATCACTCCACACTATCGCCCAGATCCCAGATAACTCCCAGTCCGCCGCCGGCAGCGAGTCCCACCCACTCGGCGGCCACCACAGGATCACCTCAAAGCGCCTACACTCCGGGTCTGAGTCCCAGTGGTGCTGTTGCTGCAATCCAGGAATCGAGCAACAGCCAAACGGATAGCAGCAATCAAAGCTCCCAGATGCCCCTGCTAGTGGCTCCCCTGCCCATGGGTGCTGGTCCGCCGCCACCACATCCAAGGCTATATGTGGAGGGCTTTTCGCACACACCACACCATGTGCCCCACCTGGGCGCCTATCCCCTGCCACGTCTGCCACTAATGATGCCCGGCAATGGACCAGCGCCACCGGCACCACTTGCACCACCTGGCGCCGGAGCTCCTCAGCCCGTTTCGCCACAACCCGCTGGCAATCAGCTGAGCCACAGTGGAGCCGCCATGGCCACCACCACGCTCCTGCCGCCCGCCCAAAGTCAGCCCAAGAAATCCTTCTGCATCGACGCTCTGTTGGCCAAGAGTCAGCACCAGACGGGTGAGCCGCAGCCCATCCTTGTGGATGATCGCCTGGCCGCTCTGCACTATGCCCGCGATCAGGCGGAACTCAACCACGCCTTCGTGACCGCCTCCAATGCGGCGGCGGCTGCTCAGGCCGCTGCCTCGGCCGCCGCCGGCGGCATTAGCGAACAGGAGGCACTGCAGCGCATCCGGGAGTCCAGGGAGTACGACTCACCCAGTCCCGACGGCATGTCAAGGTAAGTCAACGAATTTCTGCGGATAAAGGATAAGAAAATGACAAAGAAACTTGCTTACAAAAATAAATATCTATCCAAAGAACATTTTTCTGAAAATATTAAAATTCCAAATCTATTTCTATTTAATTAGTATGATTATAAATATTACTAATTTATCTAAACTTATTGCAAAAATAAAGTAAAGTAAAGTGAAAATAATAATCAAAAAATTATTTCAATTAAAGCTATTTATAACACAAACTATTGAAGTGAAATGATGTTATATTATTGAAAATTCTTAGTATTGGGTGATATTTTATTTTTATTTTATGTTTTACTCTTTCTATTGAAAAGAAGTGAGAATACTTACACATTTATCGACAGTTGTTAAAATAAACAAGAATTAATCGACTGCCATTGGTAAACGTTTAACAATAAGTCAAATAATTATAATATATTTATTAGCCAATTTTAAAAATATTCTTTAGGGCTATTCTTTTTTTAGTGAATATTTTCTAAGACTATTTGTAAAATTTTTAAATTAAAAAAAGTAAATGGACAAAAATATCATAGTAATTACGTTTTTCCCACCTGCTCTGTAAATTAAGTTAGTCATTTCTTAAAGTAAGCTCAGTTTTGGCTTATAAAGTTAAATTAATGTCTTAATCGTTTTAAAAATATATGACACTCAATACACATTTGCATTAGTTTCTCCTAATTCCCAGAATTTAAAAACAATTCGTTATAAACAATGTAGCTCTTAGTTAAAAGCCCTCAACATTTTGTGGTAATCCTCTGCCTGGCTACCAAACAACCGTGGCACTCGGTGAAAACCATGCTGAAAGCCAAAGCGAAGCCCCAATGAAGCCCCAAAGCAGCTTTGTTGGCACTCGAAAACATGGCAAGCCAAAAGCCTTCGATTGGTCAATTCCAGTTTGAACATCAGTCACTGAGATTACGTATACGCCATGTGTCTGCCGTCATAAGTGTGTGAGTGGCTAATTTCAAGTGCGAATTGTGTAGTAAAGCAAACAAATTAGACAAAGAGAGGGTGGCGGTAGTATTAATTGTTTTCAAAATGTGTCGTGTAATTTAGATTGTCATCGAAATGTTAGATAATTCACTATAAAGGGTGTCTCATTAAATCATTTTCTTCAACAAATACTTTTTGCAGATCTGAATCGCCGAGTTCGTCGCACCGCTCCAGTCCGCCCATCAGTCCAGGCTGCGAGGATCAGCAGCCCCATGGTGGCATGCATCCCCAGCACCTGTCCATGCGCATGTCCGACTTCCATGACGAGTTCAAGAAGCCCATTCCTCCGCACAGTCCCATCAGACCTCAGGATTTCCCACTCTATGCGGGCGGACATCCTTACCAACTACTGGCGCAGGGAGGATCTGCTTTCCACAGACCTCTGGATCCTTCCGGCAAACCCATACCGGTAAGTTCTACAATGACTACATTTTATAATTAAGTTAAGTTCCACTTTTAATTCTAAACTCCAAAATGGCCTTGAGTTGGAGAAAAATACTTATTAAATCACATTAAAAATTATTCGGAGCATGTAAGATATAATAATTAAACAGTAATATTTGAGAATTTGAAATTTGAATATTATTACAAACTTTTTAAATAACATTTGTTAAATTTGTTTTAATTATTTTAAACAAAAGAAATGTTTTTCATTAAAAATACAAATTAAAATTAAATACTTTTAAACCATTTCTTAAAAAAACTAACGTTTGATCAATTGCTGTCTTTATCATTTAGAATGAAATATTTTAAAGTAATTCTTGATTTTAATGCAGTTTATTGTTTAATTGGTAAAATAAAAGGCATACACATTGTTGTTTTTTCTCCAGATACCTATGGGTCACAATTTCATGCCCTCACAGCTGCAATTCGAGTTCCTGGCCCGCGCTGGAATGCTGCACCATCGGATCCCCGAACTGGCCGCCTATCCGCATCATGCGATTCTGGGCAAGACGCGAAGACCTCGTACCGCCTTCACGTCCCAGCAACTGCTGGAATTGGAGAAGCAGTTCAAGCAGAACAAATACCTAAGTCGGCCCAAGCGATTCGAGGTGGCCAGCGGACTGATGTTGTCCGAGACGCAGGTGAAGATCTGGTTCCAGAACCGCCGAATGAAGTGGAAGCGGTCGAAGAAGGCCCAACAGGAGGCCAAGGAGAGGGCAAAGGCAAACCAACAGCAGCAGCAGCAGCAGCAGACCTCCAGTGCAAGTGCAGCCAGTTAGGAGGAGTAGGATTAAAGAGGAGCAACTGGAGGAGTCTCCAGTCTAGTCATGCCGCGATCAAAACGCCGTCCCAGTCCCACCATCAAAACGAGACACCCTGTTTTCTGCACCCCAGTTTCATATGCGCAATCGGTTGAAATCTTTTTCGCTTTTTTTTCGCCTCGATTTCGATTTATTATTTTTATTTGGTGCCACAACAACTGGGCACTGTGTGATATATGTAAACAAGAAATATAAATTAAATTCATTAGCCCCCTGTTTGTACATAAACATAAATCTAAATAGGAAAACGCAAATATATATAAAAACAAATAAATATAAATTTAAATAAGATGAATAGTGCTTAAGTAAAGAAATTACATTAAATGCTTTTAGTATAGTTGGTTATTTAGAATTTGCTTGTATAATTTGTGTAAATAATTATAATTATAATTATGTAATTGTGGTATTTAACATTAACGAAAACTACAACAGCCATTGAGTAAAAAACAACTAAAAATATTTTTAATATCGCATTGCGATTAAATTAGTTAATTGTATGGATTTTATTTTCGAAATCAAAAATGTATAAAATAAATCACGAAAACATAATCTAAAAGGTGAAACAAAAAAAAGGGGGTATAAATAAGTGATTTTAATCAAAATTAGGGGCAACAAATAAAGGTAAAAGTAAAATAATTAGTAAATTAACAGGTAAGATGAATGATTAAAAGTTTTTAGCTTATCAACAAGCCAACCTCAATTTCCAGTCAACTCTTGCTCGAAATCAGAAAAAATTCAACGAATTTTCAAACATTTCGAACCAATTAAATTGTAGAACCATAAATTAATTAATAGAAGAGTTGAGAAATGATTTCCAAAATATTTATTTATCACTAGCCAACGAAAAACAGCATTTTATAATATATATTTATGTGAATATCTAATCTAGTTGGCTTTGAGAGCTGTCTGTGGTCTCAAATTTATAAATACACGACACCCATAAAGAAAGAGCTATTAGCCACATATTGTTATACTTCCCAATCAAAATTCTACTCAATTTCTCAACGATCCGAGGACCCTTGCGATAAAGCTTATCGTTGCAAATAAATCAAAATGTGCGCAGATAATCGAGTTAATTGCTGAGACAATAATTATGACTAAATTTATAGTATCACTTCAAAATTATTTCGCTAATTAAAATGTAGCCAACTTAAAACGAACAACGAAAGCACTTCGAAGTTGATTTCAATTTGGTTTGTTTTTTTGTTGTGTGTGTGTATGGCAAATTGAAAAAATCATGGTGAGCCTTAATTTCCGCCGAAAGTCGAGCCATATAAAGTATTATCAAGCTAAACGAAAAAAAAAACAGGTGGGAGCATTCCAATTTTTGATATCTGCTTGATTTGAGTTCAATTTGGATTAGCTTTGGGGATCTGGTGCTTTGATTAGGGAATTTTGTTTGTTTTTTTGTTGTACTTTATAGTTTAATGTGAAGTGAGTTTTTCTAAAAAAAATTTGTGGAACCCCTTTAGGTTCAAGCAATTTAAATCAGAACATAACATCATCAGAGAATTCAAAATTCATCAAAATACACAATTCTAGAACATTAATTTCATTAATTGCTAAAAATGGGCTAATAACAATTAGTGAGGATGGAACATTATTATTTCCTCCTTTGACAGGAGATGACATAAAGTGTGAACTCATTTGGAATCGTTCTGTTCTAACCACTTTCAATTCCATTTTTCATTTCCCATACCCGAAACCCAAACCCATTTCCATTCTTCTGAAGAGAACTCGTCCGTCCACTTTATCACGTAATTCTCAAGTATTTCATAGACGAGCACACGGACGGACTTTACGGGTTTTATCGTTGCTTTTGGTTTGCCTTGAAGTATGCTTTATATTGTTATTATTGGCTGTTTGATCTGTTGCTGTTGTTGCCGTTATTGTTGTTATTATGCAGCAGTTTCTTGTTGTTTGATGGGCTAATAAAAATTCATTTCGCTCTTTTGGTTTGCCCCTAACACGTAGCGCATTTTTGTCTAAATAAATGAATGAATCGTATAAAGGAGGATATGTGGCACAGTGGTTTTAGAAGGTCGCTTCAATTATGACTACTAATACAATTTCTTAAAAATTTATCAGTATTTAAATAGTTGAAGTATAATTATTGTTAAAGTACTATTTTTAATAAACAAAACCAGAGAAAAATAATATCTTGTATTTTTAAAAGACTTCTTAGAGCAGTTCCATAACAATTAAAGTCTTTGTTGTTTAGTTAATATTAAAACATTTTATTCAAAATCAAAAATCAATGGGAAATTAAAATTTTGTATCTAAGAAGCAAGTTCTATTTCTTTAGTAATCAATACACCTTTTAATTTCTCATTAGTTTATACCGGTTTTCCTTCTTCAGTTTAACCCCGAACTTAACCCACTGTGCATCCTGGGCTGCGGTTGCTGATGCTGCGCTTTATTTTGATTTGCCTTGAAGTGGCCAAATGTGTTGAACCTGAACACAATGCAAAGGGGAAAGGGAACGATTTCTCCCTAATTTCAATTCATTGAGCTATTAGCGGGTAATTTGCAGCAGAAGAATTTCAATGAAAACCCGGCGAGACCAAAAAAAGGGTGACAGAGACCAAACCGTAGAACTGGAATTGGATTCGGGATGGATACGGATGGCCCTGGATGCTGTTTGGTCCTTCGGGATGCCCTGCCTGCTGCTGATTGTCGCATCTGTTGCAAATTAAATTTGAGTTATAATTTCTATAAACACACAAGCGTTGAGTTGAGGAGGGCACACACCCATAAAATCGCCGATTGAATTGAGGGTTCACTTCCCAGTCCGACGGTAATTTTCATTCTCCCTTTCCCCCGTCTGACTTTGTTGCCTTTGTTGCTGGTGTTACAATTTGGTTATCCCCTGTTGGGAAACATCATCACCTGCACTGAGAGAAAATAAAATTGTTGTTGAAATAAGTGTACTTAAAAAGTGAAGAATTTGCTCAAGTTTCTTTCAAATTGTTAAGTTCTGCAAAGGCATTATAGAAACATGATTTGGACGGTACATATTTATTTATTAAAAAACAAATCTATCATTACTCAAACCATTTAACAAATCAATAAATTATTTCAAAAGTTATTTGCTAATTAAATTAATTAAAAATTACCTTACCGCTAGATGTCGCTGCGTCTTTTTTGTTTGCTGCGTATATATGTATAATCGCCATCTATCGTCCCATCTTTAGGTTTACATACCTGCTCTTATAATTTATTAAAAATCTTTAAATATATTATTTCAAATATATATTACATAACATATGGCTAAATATATTTTACAATTTATAATAATATAAATTTTTTCTCAGTGCTGGACAACCCTCTTGGGTTGAATGGCATTCATAGTTCTAGTCCCGAGTTCCAATTTGATCTTCATGTCAACACAGATGATCACATTTTATGCTTAATTTTGTTATATGTGATGTTTGCTCTACTGATTTAGCGCACACCACTGCCCACCCCCAATCCGTTCAATTCCCCTTATTTCTATACTCGCATTCTGTGAGTTTTTGCGCTAATATTCAATCGAATTTGCCTCGATTTTCGATTTTATTGTCAAATATGTGCGATTATTGTCATATGTTGGATTTTATTATTGTCAAATTTGCATTTGTCTGGGGATCGCAGTCGGGGTTGGGGGGTGAATAAGCGGTTATTGCTCGTTAGCCAGCTAGCTAATGGCTGTTTACTCTGTCAGGATACGAGGGTCAGGATGCTGTGGTGTCCTATTGATTGGCTTCGATTGATATCACAATTGATGGGCGGCATCCCGTTTTTAATTGCTGCCGCTTTGGGCAAATCCTTTCTAATTGATGGGGGAAATGCATATGCGCACATTTAGGGACTATAACTGATGGTTTACAAAGTAAATATGATGATTTTGGGCTAATATAGTTTTGAGCCGTCTTTAAAGCCCTACAGGCCTATAGGCTTCCTTTCATTCCTAATAGGAATAATTTATGCAAGGCAAAATAATTTTGGTGCTTGTATCAAGTTCATAATTGGAGCAGGTAATTTTTTAAAAAAAAAGAAATTTATTATAAAAATAAAATACTTTACTTAATCTAGACAATGTCTTAATGTATTGCCATATACTTAACATTTTATGTTTAAATGCTTTTTTTATTGTCTTTTAAGTTTTTTTTATTTGTACTTATATATATTTCTTAAATATGCAATCCTAAATGATTATTTTAATATTTTTGCCATTGTAATTTTTTTAAAGGGAGACTTAATATATAAAATACTTTAGCTATAAAACGATATATATTTTTAATGTCATCTTGAAAATAATTTTAATGTTATTTGGCACACCTATTTTTGTTCTAAGATTCTAATCAGAATTAAATTATTTAATATATCTATTTTTAAAATGAATATATATTATGTATTTGTTCAGTTTAAAAGTCTATTAAAATAATGTTTATATTTTGTTATACTTAAGCAGGGAAGGTAACAAATTCTTACAACGCTCATAACTCTTCAAATATTTATCCTTTCTTTAAAGTCAACAGTAAATTTAGTATCTTTTGATATACCCAAAGAAAACCTACTTGAGATCCACTTGAAATATAAACAGTGTCTATAATTTCTCCCTCTCAGCCTGCAAAGTACTTTCTCCCCTCATTGCTCCGTTAAATTTGCTAATTACCTCAACATAAGGTTTTCTAATTTCATTTAACGCATAGCAATAACAGCAACAGGGAGATATATTTGCGGAAACGGAGCCCGCAGTTGGTCCGAAAACCAGACGAACAACCCTATTTTTTCTTGGCCACCCCTTAACCCATGACAGCCCCAGTACCGGCAGGACCCCCCCTCCCCACCCTCTATTACACTTTGGTAGTTGAGTCTGGCTTCAGTCGTTTGGTATCATTAGCCTCTGGGGATGATTTGTTGTTGTTTGGCAGCACTTGATCAACGCAGCAATGAATTCAATTAGCACCAAAACACCAAAAGAGCGTTGCAGGGGGTTAAAGGGGATGGGGGAGGCGGGGAGGAGGAGTGGCACTTGCTGCAGGCAGCGGAAAATCCAAAGCCAGAGGCGTAGGAAAAGGAAAAGGACACACCCTCGACATTAGAGAGGGGAGGAAAAGCAACGGAGTCTGGTCAATTGTTTGGATTATTTTTCTGGTGAATTATTGCGTGTTGACGCATATGGTGACAATTTTCCTTTACAAATCGTCCCGTCTCGCTCTCCATTTTCATTTCCCCACCCTCTCCTTTCTTCTCGACTAATGCCCCGAGCAATTAGCTTTGATAGAGGAATTGTTCTGGCTGTCGCAAAAATTTCCTAACGATTAAATCGAAATCATTTTGGCACTGCCAGGACATTGACTTTTAGCAGGAGTGTTCCGAACTTCAATTTCGCCCGGATTTGTTCAAATTTTTTAACTTTCAAGAAATACTTTATATTTTTTTTAGGAAAACAACTAAAATATGTCTTGATTTCATATTATTAAAAAAATG